GCAGGGAATTCTGGGAAAGTCAATTTACGGTTATTTGCAGTTTATATTAAGGAAACATACCGTTAACCAGGTTACGGATTTGTACTGTAGCATTTTTACAGTTTTTTACTGTTGAAGTCACAGCCATTTTTTACAGTGTATGTTTATATATATATATATATATATATATATATATATATATATATATATATATATATATATATACACTGTATATCAGTGCAATCTACTAAATTACAGTAAAATTGAGGTCATAGTTACAGTCAAATTTTGAGGTAATCCAGACGTCACACTGCAAAATTTTAGTCGTGATTTCCACTCAATGACAGTTTTTAAAATATAGACAAGAAATGTCTATAGGCATGACCTGAGAGAATCATTGACATATCCCCAGAGCAAATAAAAAATTTATCACGCATAATATCTGTACCTGTCAGCGATTCAAAACCATGCTGTGTGAAAATGTTCTGACTGAAAAACACATTGACAATGTCCTACCTGGTGAACCAATGAGAAAACGAGAGAGCAGCGAGAAGCTAAAGATTTTAGTGGCAAAGACATTGCTAAAAAAAGTACAGGCTGAACTGTGGAAGAGAGTGTAGGAAAGCAGATCAAGATCAGAGCAGCCAGAGACACTAGAGATGTCTGTGAGAATCCAGTGATGTTTATGAGAGTCTAGTGATGTCTGTAAAAGCAAGTGATGTCTGTGAGAGACCAGTGATGTCCTGTGAGAGATTAGAGATGCCTTGTGGCCCCAGATATGGTCATGGTTTCTGCTACACTCATTCTTCCATGGCCACGCCACACCAAAGTTCATCCCAACATGGCTACATTAAAGCATCTCATTCAAAACATTCAGTCGTGTTTTTTAATAGCGGGTTATAATCGCACCAAAACGTATTAAAATCCGTTTCACTTAACTTCAAGACTTTACTTCAGGAGGCATTATTGCCCCTCTGTAGGTCTATTGGAGACATTCAGAAATATTCCTAGTGAATCTCATAAATGTTGGAGACATACTCAATAAATATGCGCTCTAAATCGTTTATTTGAGAGCGCACAAGAAAATGCGCTTAAGCAGCGTATATTTGAGGGCGTGCAAGAAGTTTTGTGCACAAACAGAGGAAATCAGCGAGCAAGCAAAGAGATTGGCATGCTCAAAACATTTGTCATTGAAATAACGCCATAGGTAGTTGGTAGATCTGTGTAAAAAATGGCCAGCCGTCTCAGCTGAAAAAAAACCTAGAGGAAACACTGATGGTGAAGTCATTAAATGTAAGGGACTGTACACTTACTTCTCATTTCTGACTGCAGTATTCTTCAGAAGTTGTATTTGTAATGTTTCTTTAAGCCACAATAATTTCTGTTCTCTAATTTTGATGCCCACTTCACTTATTCTTATAGTATGACTATGACATTAAGCATGTGGTAAAATCTTACAAGGGTCAAGTAAAGTCAATTAATGTTGTTGTAAAATTTTTATAAACGCAACACAGGGTCATTCTGAATACGTAGTCCTATGTACTGTATGTTTCTGGACACCGAGAATTATGTAGCCAGAGGTACGTATGGCAACGATGTTTATGGAGAGGTGCAATGTTTTTTAAAAAGTCAGGCCAGAATCACGGTGACAGGCCAGATGACTGTCCTATTAATCCCTTTGGCTAGTCCGCCCCTGACCACGACGACGTGGTTCGAGTCCGGGGAAGAACGGTTCCAGAAAGCAGGTAAGACAAAAATAGAATCCAAAAAAATAAAATACACAAGTAAACAACGGTGAAAATGTGGTAAAATCCGAAAACTGGGTAAAAATCAGACGAGGGCTTTTTTTCTGGACTGCTTTTGTAAATTGTTGGTTGGGTTTAGGGAAGTGGGAGGGTGGGTCAATCGATAAAATTGGTTGGGTTTAGGCAAGGAGGAGGGTGGGTCAATCAATTGGTCGATCAGCCAGTCAGTCATTCTGTTAGTCAGACAGTCAGTCAGTCAGTCAGTCAGTCAATAGCGGCCTCTGGTGAGGTTAAGCGAGAGCAGCGAGCACAAATGGCACTCACGAGAGTTATTTTAGATATGAAAAAGAACAAACAGCGGCCTCTCGTGGATTCCTGTGATGCTCCAGGGACAGACAAGTCTTCACTGAGGTCCTGCTTCCAGCCTCCGGCACCTAGACAACAGTTCTGCACAAGATGTTTGGCCAGAGGAGAAATGGTCGTGCCCAACTGAGCCTGGTTTCTCTCGAGGTCTTTTAATTCGTAACTTTTGCCAATTAGTGAAATTTTTTCCTCGCCAGTGTCGCTACTGGCTTGCATGGTTCGGGATCTGTAGAGCTGCGCATCGATGGATCTGCTCTTCAGTATTTGACTCTTAATAGTGATTATTAAACCACACTGAACTGAGCTAAACTAAACTGAACTTAAACACTGAAAACTGAACTACACTGTTTCAATATAATATGCACTTCTATGTGAAGCTGCTTTGACATTATCTACATTGTAAAAGCACTATAGAAATAAAGATGAATTTAATTTAATTTAATTGAATTCGCAAAAACAAAAACTGCAAAATATCCTTACCTCCCAGGACATTTTGCAGCCTCTAGAAACTTATAGTCTACAGTATGTTTTCAGAATGAGCCTGGGTTGCATAAATAATAATAAAATTAATAATAATAATAAACATACCCTTTTCTCTTTTATCAAGGTCTGGGCTTTCTGTTTACCGGACCGGATTTATCCAGGATAGCACCAGGTCCATTAGTGGTTTCGGGTGTACAACACGCTTCAAACATGGAGCTGAGCGAGGAGGGGGCTGAAGCTTCAGCTGCGACCTCTTTCACTTTAGTGCGCACCATATCTTTCTTTTCTGTCAACATGCCCTTCATCTTTGCCCTGGTGGATGATACCTCTTACACACCACTATTCCTGGGTATAGTCACTAACCCTAACCCTGGAGCGAAGACGGAACAAAGTGATGACCCAAAAACTGAAACTGAAAGCACCAGGAAGTCAAGCAAAGACCCCATGAGTGATGGGACACTTAATGATGGTCCGCATCAAAACATGCTAAGCTACATGCTAAATATGTGGAAGGAAACAGTTCCTCAGCAGTTCCTTGGGCATCAGGAGATGGAGGATGGTAACTAAGAGGAGATGATCGATCAGTTTATGTTACCTGTTCATGTACAGAAGGCCTACATACTTTTCTGTTTGTAAATTGCTAATCATGGCTTGCTCTGTGATTTACAGGTGCCATATTTAGTTTGATATAAATGAAAAAGGCTGTTCAATGGCATCTTCCCCAAAGAATATGTAAGGGAAAATGTACAGTCAAAGGGTCTCTTTTGCAAAATAACCTCATCCAGGACCTTGACATGGGTTCATTTTAATGATCAGTTAACTGCCTTTTCTCAGGTGTTACATGGCTATATGCCAAATAAATCAATATATGGTCAAGAAAAGATGGATTGAGTGTAAATTATTTTGTGGTGATCTTGAAGTAGTAAACATCCATTCGGCTTCAATGAAAGCACACCATATTTCTGACCACATTACAGACCAATTAGAATCAGGTATTCAAGAGAATCTTGTAATAGAGCTCAACAATAAGTTTTTGAAGCTAAAACTTTTTTATCCAAGAGAATAAATATATATATTTTATATTCATACACAGTATTTACTTGTGGATGCCCATGATGCTTGTAAAGATAATTTTATCAGAGAGTAAATAATAGATAATAATTTTACCATAGAGAGTGGCAACAAAAATAAATAAATAAACAAACAAATAAATAAATAAATAAACATGCCAAAATAAATCTTTACCTTCACCTTCACTACACTACCTTAATAATTAAACTTTTTCTCACAAAAAAAAAAGGTCCTAAGTTTAAGCCCAGGCAGGAGTTTGCATGCTATATATATATATATATATATATATATATATATATATATATATATATATATATATATATATATATATATAAACCTATTTCTAATAACTGATGTATTTTATCTTTGCCATGATGACAGTAAATAATATTTTACTTGATATTTTTCAAGACACTTCTGTACAGTTTAAAGTGACATTTAAAGGCTTAACTAGGTTAATAAGGTGAACAAGGCAGGTTAGGGTAATTTGGCAAGTAATTGTATAACGGTGGTTTGTTCTGTAGACTATCGAAAAAAAAATTGCTTAAAGGGGCTAATAATTTTGTCCCAAAATTGTTTTTTAAAAAATTTAAAACTGCTTTTATTCTAGCGGAATAAAATAAATCGATAAAATGAAATAAAACAAATAAGACTTCCTCCAGAAGAAAAAAATATTATCAGACATACTGTACAAATTTCCTTGCTTTGATAAAAAATCATTTGGGAAATATTAAAAAAAGAAAAAAATCAAAAGGGGGCAATGTGCAATCAGAATTATTAAACCCCCTTTTAATTTTTTTTTTGTCTTTTTAAATATATCCCCTATTTTAAATATTTATTCTGCAGAAAGTCTTTTTTGTTTTATTTCTGCTTGAATAAAAGCAGTTTACAAATTTTTAAACATCATTTTAAGGTCACAATCATTAGCCACTTTAAGCTAGGCTATATATTTTTTCGGTAGTCGGAACAAACCATTGTTATACAATAACTTGCAAAGATAAAATAAATCAGTTGTTAGAAATGAGTTATTAAAACTATTATGATTAGAAATGTGTTGAAAAACATTTTCGTATATATTGAATTGAAGAGCAGTGTTTGTGTATTTTGAGTTCTTATTAACCCATCCTTTGTTAATCTCCAACACAGTTATTTTCTTAAAAGAAAATAAAGGATCATTCGAGAATTCTAAACGAAACTTTAAAATTGTAAAAAAAATTCAGAATTTTTAACGGACAAACGGACTTAAACGGACTTACCACTATCTGAAGTTTCAGGGCACATCTGTAGCGTCAGCAAAGGGCGGGATCCTTTCTAAAACACTGCTGAAGCATCTGCTCGTGCACAGTTGGCGGAGGCAGCTGAGAACTGAAAATCTGCACGGAGCGACGGTAAAGAAAACAGGTCAGACGCTTTATTAACCACAACGCAGAAAATCTTTTATGCAAATGGTTAAATTAGTAAATGTATTTTGTCGTGGTTTTCGCTCCTGTTCTTGGTAATTATCGCAAGTTAACTATAAATATGCTTTATTTTGTAAATAAGAAGGAAGAATGCACCCGTACGAGTGCAAACAATCTTAATTATCATTCTAACTTATTTTTTCAACATTCTTTCTTTTATTGTATGTTTTTTTTCCTTTCTTTTCCTTTATTTAATACTCATTTATGCTGCATGGAAAGTTTCACACGTGTCATTTTTTCCCTTTTTTCAGAATGTAGATGTACATTTGAAGCGCAGACTTATCATGCAGTGGATTAGACTCAGGCTCAGCCCTTTTAACTGCGTGGCAGACACTGTGAGGCAGCCGTTTAGATGAATGTGAAAATAGTAGTGTCAGGAGTATTTTTCCCCCAGTGATGAACAAGGACTCAGCGAGGACGCTTAATGGCAAACAGATGTGCTGATGAAACATGGAAAAAAGTTTCAGCCCTTGTTGGAAACTTCTGCAGTAACAGTTCTTGAACCTGTGCCTGAAGTGAACTGTGTCAAGTGTTATTCAGTGACTTGACTTGATTGCAAATGTTTGGATATAATTTATAATTCAAGTATTTGATTTTTAAAAAAGTTAACAAAACTTTCTTGTAAAATATATAAATTTAGGTGCATCTATCACATGGTCTTATTTAAAATAATAGTATTTAATATTATTGATAAATAATTTGTTGACTTGTAACATGTTTATATGTAAGCTTAGCCACCATGGGATACATTTTTGTTTGGTTTCAAGAGTTCACACTTAGCTGATAATCAATAAAGCGTATTTGGCATGCTGTCCCGGGAGAGAGCTCTGAGCTCGTAATATCCTCGAGCCCGGGGCTCCCTCCCGTTAGAAGGGCGAGAGGGGAATTCGAGGTCAGGTAGGTCTCGAGAACTCCCCTGCTTGTCACCGTGAGAAGTGTAAACTAAGGTTGTATTGGGTGATAATTTGTTTTAGTCGATTGGCTATGGTTTGTGTTTTTGGACGGTGGGAGGAAACCGGGGAATCCGGGGAAAACCCACGCGAACACGGGGAGAACATGTAAACTCCACACAGAAACACCAACCGGCCGGATGGGTTGGACCGGCGGTGTTCTTGCTGTGAGGCAACAGTGCTAGCCACTGGGCCACCGTGTTGCCCGATCAGAAAAAAGTGGGAGGATGTAGGGGTGGAAAGGGGGGGAGCTTCAAGACGAAGATAACTAGAGTGAAAAAAAATCAGGTTATTTATAATACTTCCGTAATCATCTAATAGGGCTGATTACGGAGCTAAAAAGGAGCCAGCCGTGTTGATTATAAGCACGTGATCCTCTCCAAATTAGTTTATAAATAAACCGCACTAAATATTACAATTTTTGTTTGATTAAATATAAAAAAATGCAATGTTACAATTTTACTGTATGTTGGTTAAAAAAAAGAAATCTTGCAAGGATAAGAGAATTCTTCCAAAATTAATAACACTTCCAAATTAATACATACTTTGAGCAGTTGAGCCTGTTTCTTGTCACATTTCTTCCTTTCTCTTTTTAAGATACTAAGCAAAAAACAACAAAAAAAAAAATTAAATGTGGTTATCCTGTGCTCTGGTATCAAATATATGAAAAAAATTTGACCTTTGCATTCATCAGGATGAAGAAGATAGTTCTGCTCGTTGGTTTGTGGAGTCTCCTCTCCCTCTCACATGCTCAGTTGGTAAGATCTATCAGTTTATCCAATATGCTTTCTCTTCTCTCTCTCTGTCATTCCGCTGGCTGTAACTTTACACATTTCTACAGGCAGACACAACAGATGCAGAAGGTGAGGAAGAAGCAGTTGACCTTTTTACCACTCCACGCACCAAGCTGGCTGCAGCAACCTCTGATTTTGGCTACAACCTGTTCCGTCAGCTGGCATCGCGTGACACCAAGGCCAGCGTCTTTTTATCCCCCATGAGTATATCAGCAGCCTTTACACAGCTATCAATGGGTAAGGCTTTGCCATTGGAAGACCACAACTGCAAAAGTAGTGACAAAAGTTTATAGTTTGAGATTAGCAATTTCAAAGTGGTGTTTGTCATCCATCAGGAGCGTCTGAACGGGCCGAGAAGCAGATTTACAGAGCCCTTCGCTATCACACACTTCAGGACAGTCAGCTCCATGACACACTCAGAGATCTTCTGTCCTCACTCAGAGCATCAGCCAAGGGCTTCAAGTCAGCAGAACGCATCCTTTTGGCGAGGAGTGAGTGCTCTTCATTTTAAATGGGTGTGGTTGTGTGTGCATTTGATAGTATGGTGGTGTTTTAATACCAAGAAGAAGAAAAAACTATGATTACATTTTGACACCACAATTATGAGAATAAAGCATTATTAGTCTGAAGATGTGATTTGAAAAATATCAAAATATTAAAAAAAAAAAAGTAATATTATCAGGTGCTTTTTTCAGTTATATACCTAATTTTCTATTTAATAATGAGATTTAAATACGGTATTTTAGTGACATCTATTTTTAGCTGAATTAGCTCGTCAGATTGTCATCATGACCACACTTCCTAAAGATTTAGAATAAAGAAATGTGGAAAATACTTATTTTTTAAAGACAAATGTAATATGTCATATATTATCAGGAAAAAAAATAGAAATTTATTAAAGTTTTAAATTAAAAACTGAAGCCTATTGTTATTTATTAGGCAAATAACAAACTGGCCAGCATATTCAATTTTCCTCAGCCAAAATATGGCCATTTCAATAAAAATAATCAAAACATAATAATAATAATAGTAATAATAATAATAATAATAATAATAATAATAATAATAATAACAATAACAACAATAATAATAATAATAATTATTATTATTATTATTATTATGAAGAGCTTCACAATTTTCTATCCTCGCTTGTAAAAAAGTAAATTTGAAAATTCATGGCTAAAAACAATAGCCAAATTTGTATTCAATTTTATTTTTTTTATATGGGCCGCTTTTGGTGCTTCACACCTTCTCATTGTTAATTTTTTTTGGTTCAAAAATAAGGTCCAAGATTTAGAATAAAAGTTAGTGGTAAATTGTTTTCTTTATTTAAAAACAATACAGTAGTGAAAGATGACTTCTCTAATGGCAAATTATATATGTTTGCCGCTGGATTTTGGACTCATGAAAAATATTTGTTAGCATTGGCCAAAACTGATTAGCTTAAAAAACATTGAAGCAACACCCAACAAAGGATTCCACTTGGTCTTAAAGCCTTTTTAATGGGTTATTTTCTCTATTTATGATGGCACAGCATTCAAAACAGGACAAATGAGTTCATGAATGGGACAAATTCTGGATCTTTGTCAGTGAGGGGTGGGTCTACCGAACCCCCCCTGGCTACGAGCCTGATTATAAAAGTAAAGCTATAAGATTTTTAGAATAAATAAAAATTACTAAAATGAAGTAATGTTAGGTATAAAGTGACAATGAGAATAAAGCGGTTCTAATAATTTTAAAATATATTAGATTTATTTACACACATTTATTTACTTACATTTATTACATATATATAGTCAAAATAAAAATAAAGTAAAATTGAGATTACAAAAATAAAATTGTATAATTTTGTCAAGTTGAAATTAAGAAATTAGTTAAAAATTACAAGAATGTTGCTGTAATTTTTTTCAGATTGAAATAAAAATTTAAATAATAAAGTAATAAGAAATTACAGTCTTACCAACACTTAAAACTGTAAAGTAAAATTATAAATTAGTTAAAAGTTCTAGCTTTGTGTGTCTAAAATTGTAATACTTTGATAATTCAAACTTATTAGTAATTCAAAAACAAAGTCTTAGCAATACGAGATGTAATATTTAAAAAAAATATATAGAATTATTAGAAACTTTGAAATTCATAGAGATCACATCGTAATTGTGCATATAAAGTTGAAATTATGAAAACAAAGTTGGAAATAAAAATATGAGAATAAAGTATTTTATTATAGGGACTTTTTTTCTTGTAATTTTTACTTTATCCACAAAATATCACACAGTCACAACTTTGACAATTTTAGTTTTTTTTTAATGTGAAACCAAAAGTGAGAAATAAAGCTGAACATGTTTTCACTCACCCTGTGTGTTGCAGAACTTCGTCTAAGGCTGGAATACCTTAACAGCGTTGAGAAGCAATATGGTGAACGGCCTCAGATTCTTGCTGGTGGAGCCCGGGACCTCAAGACTGTTAATGACTGGTTTAAACAGCAGACTGGAGGAAAAGTGGATCAAGTCGTTCCTTCCCCTCTTCCTCGTAACACAGCTCTGCTGCCAGTCGGATCTGCCTATTTTAAGGGTAAGTTAACTCTACTTCTTATTTATACCTTTGTAAATCTCCTCTGCTCTATGTAGTTAAACAGAGACAATACAAGGAGTTGGAGTCATATCAATATTTATTGAATCATGAAAATGTGCATGCATATTAACTCGGTTGATATCAACTTTGTCACGTGCAGTCAGTTTGATTTCTGATTTGAAATGTTATCTTAAAAAATTTTTATTCTTCCTGCACTGATTTGAGTGCATTGACTTTTTGCAGGTAAATGGATAACTAGATTCGGCAAACCTAATAAGATGGAAACCTTCAGGAGAGATGGACAAGCACCTGCTGTTATTCCCATGATGGAGCAGGAGAATTACCCAGTGAAGATGGGTATCGACTCTGACCTCGGCTGCACGGTACCAGAATCTGTTGTATTATTCATGCGCTGGAACAGAAAAACATTAATATATGTTTCCACATGTTCTCAATATTTGTGTAAAGTTAGTATGCAAATACTTTTCCTTTTACTACTTTCATGATGCAGACTGCAGTATTCATACAAACATGATATTGTGACACACTGTCAAGGAGGAGCAGGACCCTAAAACACACTTGAAGGCATAGTTCACCCAAAAATATGTGATCAAGTGTGATCATCATGGGCATTGCTAGGCCAATTTTTAATTAGCATATATTTCTACTCAACCCCCCTAAAACTTTGGCTCAAAAACTGAACACTAAATTGTTGCCTCAGTTCCCTTTAAATTTGAACATTTCGCTATTTTTAGTTCAAAATGAACTGCCAATAATAAACACTTTACACTTTGTGTGGCAATAACTATACCATACAGTCTTGCACAGAAAGGATTTAACACTTAGGGAATGTACTCGTTTAAACTGTCACTGAGTCACTGACAGAGATAGAAACATCGAGTGTTGTTTCGTATTAAAAAAAATCGTATTTATTATTATCATTTAGATCGTAAAATTTGTGAATAAGCTTGTACGTTTAAATATATATATATATATGGCAATGGCCTTAGTGCCCCCACCAGTGCCGATATACAGCCATATCGCACTGCTACGAGTGTGATATTGCGTTTATACAACAGTTTGATGACATAATTGTGTATATAAAAACAAAATCAAACATGGAGAATCTCAAAAACCCTTTTGTATGAGGAACTACTTTCTTCCGCATTGGATTCAAATCATAAGGTGACAGTTAAACAGCTGTTAAAACAGTTGAAAGCATCTTTTAAACTTTAGATCTGTAGTGTCTGCTTTTTGCTGGCTTTATGTGGGCGGAGTAATACACAAAGGGTAAAGAGGCTGTAGGAGCTCTGATATTGCAGAATATCGCATGGCTATCAGCCAATCAGATTTGAGAACCAGACTGAACTGTTGTATATATATATATATATATATATATATATATATATATATATATATATATATATATATATATATATATATATATATATATATATATATTTATGCCATTTAATTAGAATAGTGGCAGTTTATTTATTTAATACATGGAAATGAAAAATGCACTTCATAATTGAAAGTGGTTTTTACTTCTGTAAAGAGGGGTACTCAGAACTCAAGTAGCTATGGCTGTCTATGTAATATACAGTAGTGGAATACTAGTATACAACACTACCATATTAAGCAAACATTGTAAGTGTGCAACTGTTAAATGACTGCTTATTAATGTAATATTAGGCTTTGTGTATAAATAGCTATATATCTCACCCCTGGTGATCAGCCTAGACTCATCCCTGGATCATACAAACACACTGGTGTGATTACAATGTTCAGAGCACATGTCATCAGGTGCTAAAGTCTGAATCGAGGGCCATTAATCACAATGTATCAGTGTTTTCAAAGAAATAACATTTTTTTTAGGTTTAATATACACAACTACTAGCAAAGCACAGGAATTATGGTTTGTAAAATACCTGCTGATTTCTGGATGATGAGCTTTATTCGTGCAAGATAAACACATGTTACCAGAGCATTTGGGGTGCCCAAACTCTGTCCTGGGAGTTTAACTACTGCTTGCTTCAACAGTCCTGCCAGAAAGTTTCTAGTATTCTTATGAAGAGCTGTATTTGCTGGTTCTGGTGTGTCCAACTGGAGTTAAAGCAAAACTCTGCTGGACATCAACCCTTCAGGAGTTTGGGCACCCCTGTTTTAAAGAAACACTTTTTGCTTCTCGACTTTTTTTTTGAAAACAGGCTCATTTTAGACATCCCTTAGACTTTCACATAAAAATTTAACCCTGCAAATTTTATTTTTCTATTTAAATATTGACTCTTCTGTACAATGTTTACATGTTGTGCATTAGCAAGATGCTAATGGTCTAATCCGATTCAATGATTATGCTAAAACAAGCTAAAAGCATTCCTGCCAGATGAATATTAACTGAATGCATTCAAAAACAGTTAAACAATCATTCTACCATTTCAGCCAAGCCCAAAATGAGCCTATTTCTAAAACAATTTGAGTGTTTCTTTCCAATCCTGTGTCCTGTGGGGGGCATTTCAGCCCCCTTTCCAATCAGGTCCTTGAAATCATTTTTATCACGTATTCCCCAATTAGAGCACCCTTGCCAACAAACCACATGTTCACACAAAAAAGAAGACATGAAGACTGAAAAGCTTCATAAATTTAGCTGATGTCCTCAGAAATCTCTCCCAGTGAGAAATGTCTACAGAAGCAAGGAGGGGTGGGAAGGACTGAGGTGGCAGTGGGACAGCCTGGAATCTGGGCAAACAACCAGGGTGAGATTGGTTTGTTGGATGGTCTGGGCTAAGCTAGTGGGGTAAACCAGGGGTCAGGCAGATTTAATTCTGTAGCCAGCTGGGAAGGAGCGAACTCTGGGATGGGCCCCAAGGTCAAAGCAGACATGCACAGCTTAACAGGAGCTGAAGCTGAACTAGAGGTGGGATTGTCCTTCCTCTGCCAATTCATTCTGCTGTGACTAAACTTGGATCATAGCATGAATGTCCATCCCTCAAATATTAACTGAAACTGGCCTAGATAGGAGTAGCGTAATCTAAACACAATGCTTTTTCCTTACCATGTACAGTATTACAAGAATTGAGAGGATGTATGGCCGGAACACAGTCAAAGGTCAAGTCAAGACAAGATGAGATATGTCTGTCAAGGCCAGGGCCGGAGTGGGACTCATTTTCAGCCCTGGAGTTTCAAGCCTCAGACCGGCCCACCTCAGTTCACGACTGACTATATTAAAATAAGGTCATTTCCAATTCAGTTTCTAATTACGCTATCACGTCTTTTTTTTAGGAGCACAGCTGCTTTAGAACTTCAAATGTTCAACAACCCTAACAGTATTGTATGTCGTAACAATAAAAATGAAAAAAATTACATACTCAGAGGAGGATTAAACACAGGTCGGCGACGTTGTAATCTAACATGCTAATCACTGGACCACAACAGATGTATATTGAGAATTGACTCATCTGAGTTATATGATCATTAACCTGCAGGCTGGATATATATAAAAAGAGCAGAGCTGCGGTAAAATAATGAATAAGAAGACTGTGGTCAAGTAAATAAATAAATAAATTTAAAAAGTGTGACTGCTGAGAGCAACAGATTCTGGAGCTAGGGACACTGGCCCTCGCGGCCGAAAAACAGACCAGCCCACCAGGAATTCTCCCGGTCCTCCCGATTAGCCAATGTCGGGCCGGGTCAAGGCTATCAATCAATAACAAACCCAACTGAAATATTCCATGAACTCCATACATCTGCACACAACTCTATGCAAAAGTATTGTGAAGATGCCATATTTTAACTTTGGTAAATATAGAAAGACTATCAAGTCAAGTCAAGATGAGCTTTTCTTGTCATTCCTCTACATGTGTGGACACACAATGGAACAAAATGTTGTGTCTCGCAGGACCACAATGCAACATAAATAATCATAAATATGAGCACAACACTGAATGTAAGATCTATTTTAAATCTATACTTGATGAACTCACTGAAGTGGTAAAATATTATATATAAAGCAACTAAAATACTGGACTGTTATATCTTTAGTATTACTAACATACTGGAATAGTAAAAACTTCAATAATCACTAACTGTCCTACTGCTAGGACAGAATGGTGTACTGAAATGTTTTTTTTTTTCTTTCTAAATTGTTATTTTAAATGGTTTGTTCATCCGAAAATGAAAATTCTGTTATTAGTTACTCGCTGTTATTTTAATCCCCTGAGACCTTTGATCATCTTCTGAAAATAAATGAGCATATTTAGATGAAATCTGAGAACTCTTATGATTTACCATATAAACCAATAGCCCTAAGATGTCTAAAACGTGACATCAGTGTTTCAACTAAAATCATACCAAGATTTGACAAAGTTTTTGGTTCTTATCTGCACTTTAAATGACCTTACAATGTTGCTGTCTATTGAGAGTTAGAGAGCTCTCGGATTTAATTCAAAATACCTAATTTGTGGTCCAAAGATGACAATGAGGCTGTGTATTTAGTAACAGTGTTTTCCCTTTTGGGTGAATAATCCCTTAAAGCAGGGGTCTCAAACTGCCGGCCATTCACAGCCTGCCCTCCGCAAATGGGTAAAGTAGATCAGATACGCGGCCGACCGGAGGTGTGATATTCACATTAATATAGCAGCATTTTTTAGGACACTGTATAACAATATTTAATATTTTCACAGTACTGTGACGGTTTAGTGTTGGGGTGGGGGTAGGCCTTAAAAAATACAATTTATTGATAGCATAATAGATAGTATAATTAATACTCGGTACAACTACTGTTTTTACCTTACTGTGACAGTTGAGTTTAGGGTTGGGGTGGGGGTAGGTGTTGTAATAAATAATGTAATAAATAATATAAATTATTCTCTTTAACTTCCGACCGCAACCATATTCGATTAAGCAACAACCCCACAAATGACGTCAAAAACATAACGAGATTCGGCTCGCCAAAACATATTTTTGAACAACTATCATTTTTGTGCAGTCACGTCCAGCCACTTGTGCTATTGACCCGCCACCTGGTTCGACAATTTGTTAGTATTCGATTCAAATGGTCTCATTTAATAATTGTTCTGCTAGTTAAATTGAACTTGTTAGAGTAAATGTGAATTTATACATCATTTCCCCCTCTTTGTTGTAGTTTTACAAATAAAGAGAGATACTGAGAAGAACAATTGCAAGTCACTTACAGTAGGTGAGAGTTTAATGTGGCCATTACCGCCGGAGCTTATACCGCCGCCGTTTTAAATTGCTGCAGCTCTGTTTTCAGTGTATGACCGCAGTTTGTGAATATGCCGCCATGGGGCACAAAGAGACTTTAAATATGCTACTGTGTTTGTAAATGAGATTGAACAATAATTCAAAGCATTATTATTCCTTAATTAATCAATAAAAAAATACTTTATTATTATTGTAAACGTTTTACGTGCAAAGATGATTTGTTTTGGAAAATAGAATTGAAGAAATAAGACAACTAAAATGAAAGCACAAACATTCAGTACAAATAAGTAAGCCTAAATAAATAAATAAAGCAGGCATTTAGCCTAAATATAGAGAGATGTTCAGTGTTTGCTCTTTTGATTAAACTAAGACAAGACATTTTCATTTATGTTTTCATTTACGTTTTTATTTACATTTTCATTGTTGATTATATTTTACTATCTCATTTTATGTCTCAATTATTGCACATAATAATAAACGAATAATGAAAAATAAATGAATAATGAAAATAGGCCTAAATAATTATTTATTTTAAGACATTGTTGGCGAAACACTGAGAAACGGTCACGTGCATGATCTTAAGAGCTTACCCAAACTGCTTTCTGTTGTTCTTCCGCAATACAACAACAACAATACAGTTGGTTGTGGTAGAATAATTATAATTATGTCTATTATTTGTAGTATTTTCATAGCAATTTAAACTACCCTTTCAATATGTACAACAAGAAACAGAAAGCTAGTGTTGTGATTGCATACACTCTGAGAGTGTGTCTAATGCTCGACCATACACAAAACAACCACAGATATATTTCAACAGCTGATGTGTAACACGATAAACATGCTGATTTTCATTATCACTGATGAGAGTTAATGCTTGAAATATAAACATCATATGTGTTATCCTAAGATGCATCAATTGCATCAGGTTTCCACATTTTTCTTGTGCTTAAATGTTAAAATGGCCCTCCTATAAATTGTCAGTCGCTGAAATGGCCTCAGCTAATTTGAGTTTGAGACCTATGCTTTAAAGGGGCGATGTCTCTTAAAGGAGCCGCATCCCCTTTTTTTACTCATTACAGACCAAGCGGCAACCTCCCGCTCTCCCTCAGGAAGCCAATACGGAAGTAACTAAAACTGCAATTCATCCGAAATTCCACTAGTCCTGGCCGCTCCTGGCTCCAAAATAGAGCAAATTTCAATTGAGCCCACTGTTAGAATGGCCAACTTTACAGCAGAAAAAAAGGTGATTACAGCCTGGTACGAAAAAAGATTTTGGTTAATACAGCTAATATTACCCTTCATGACAACTGTGAGGGGGGTGAATTTTTTTATAACTCATCCGTTTCCTTTTTATAAAGTTATATTAAGTTTGCATAATTAAGGGCGTGGCCTCTTGAGTGACAGCTAGGTCTCGTTGGTCGCCGTCACGTCACCTCAGCTGAATCCGGCAGATTAGCCACTGAACTCGGCATATTTATCGCATTTCTGTGTTGTTTTATGTGGCTTTACACAGTCAACTGCCTTTTGGACTTGTTTCCTATAATTATCAGATGGCATAACATGCTGAGTGCACTTAAGTGTGCTCACAAACCCTTCACGTGGCCTCCGTTTCCCATGTGAGTAAAGTTATATACTTATATACCATCTCTATACATGTATTTGTTTTAATTAAGATAATTTATCATTTTTATTTATATTTAGAGCTGTAATGCACTTCAGAATCTGACAAATTGATTAGCTGTAGGCTCTAGAACAGTCATCTGAAGCGTTGTCATACAGTGTTATGCTGGATTTTATCAATAGTCTTACATTAACTAACACAGACTATATCTGAAGAGTTTGGAAGTAATTCGCGTTTTCTTCCTGTTGAAAATCGTCATAAGAACAATGTTTAGTGGCTCAGTGTATTACAGCAGTGTTTTTAAAAGTCTAAACACTTTATTGATATAGTGTACAACCAAGCACAAGTGGTCAGAACACAAACGAGTCACAGGTGATAAAGTATTAAGCGTTCTCCCAAAGTAAAGTGTGTCTGAACCAGGTCCAAGCTAAATGCCAGCAGGTGTCTGTAGCTCCGCTCACTCTCCGCCTCTTTGCCCTTGTTTGGTATCCCGCCGTGGGTGTGATGATGCGCGAACAAAATGGCGACAGTTGGCAGGGCCTACTTGTGGCTTCTTTTGCGCTCTTTAGAAACCTATGGGTGACGTCACGGATACTACGTCCATATATTTTACAGTCTTTGTTACAGACACATGTCAGATGTTATTTTTGAGAGCGGGCATAAGGGTGACTGACTGTTTACACAGCAGAAAAGCGCATGCTTGTATGGGCGTGACGTGAAGCCGATCCACGAATCACGAGCACATTATGACACATGACCAATCAGAGTCACTTGAGGGCGGGCCTTTCAGAGGAACTAGGAAATATGTCAGCCATTTTCATGTTAGCAGAGTAGCTGTATATAATCAAAGTGAGATTTATTAAAAAAAACAACGCGATTTCCTTCAAGTGAAACATGAGCACACATTGCTTTGCATCGTATTAACACAACCAAGCCTTAAAATTACATTCTGGACCGCCCCTTTAAAGAGAGTTTTTGTCTAAAATCATCTTGGTATTACACTGACACCAAGTGGTGAGAATGCTGTAACACACACTTTTTCTTATTTTTGATTAGCAGCTCAGTCAGTCAGTGACAATGTTCCATTACTGAGATGGCATAATAAAGCAAGCAGTTTTCAATCATTATTCTGCTGGTTATGTGGATTTCAGGAACGAGGAAATTACTGAGTGCATTTGATTTAATAAGGTATTTAATCACCACTGTTACCCTGTTACAGATAGCCCAGGTTCCTATGGAGGATGGAGTGAGCATGTATTTTTTCTTACCTGATGAGGTCACTCAGAACCTGACTCTAATAGAGGAAGCACTTACAGCTGAATTTGTCCAGGACCTGTCAAATTCACTCCACACGGTGAAGGTGCTGCTCACACTCCCAGTTATCAAACTCAGCTACAAGACAAACCTGCTGCCCTCCCTCTCTGACCTGGGTGAGACAAAAACAACATTTTGTATTCTCTACTGTTTTATCAATGTATTATTTTCGAATACTTGTGTCTCTCTTATTTGTTCTCCCGTTTCAGGTCTATCTGAATGGTTAGCAGAAACAGACCTTACCAAAATCACCAGTCAGCCAGTCAAGCTGAATGCAGTCCATCATAAGGTTGTCCTGGAGACAGCTCCAGAGGGCGCAGAGTATGCCAGCACCACACCCAGTGCCACAGGTCAATCGCTGGGTCTATCGTACCGTGTGGACCGGCCCTTCCTTTTTCTAGTCAGGGATGAGCCTTCAGGTGCACTTCTCTTCATTGGGAAAGTGCTGAACCCAAGTGATCTCTAAAGGGTATGAGACAGAAACACACATACACTCGCACTTAAATGCACAGGAGGCACCAGCAACTTACACGAGCTCATTTTAAACCCAAGTCTATACCCAAAATATAAATATTTTCATATACAGTGGCCATTTGGAGAAAAATGATCACAGCCAGCCGCATTTTTAACATGCTTATGCAGTACACACTCAAACATTGGTATGTGCAGCAGACATTCACAGTCGAGCCATACTAAAATATTCCACTTGTGCCTTTGATTTGGAATATTTTATGCACAAGGCTCAGTGTAAATGTTTTGGATTTTAGCCAGATGATTTTAATTCATTTTGATGATTAATAACTTGATGCTCACAAATATAACTCAACCTTTAAGTAACTAATCTTTTAGCAAACATCCCTCAGGTATTTACAGCTGCTAATAATGATTATGCAATTAATGGTATGCATCTCAAAAGCATGTTGTTATGACCATCTTCTTTTCTGTAACGATTTGTTTGAGTATTTGATACGTTTGCCTTATGACTTTACTTAACAGTCCCTCAGAAATGTTCAAATTACACTCAAATCAAGTTCAGATCACATTCCCATATGTACATTTATCACCAGCTAAGATTATACTGAATTTGTATATTATGTTGATTCAAATAAAGGAGAAATACTTGCAATCAGTATCTTGTGTCTTGTCCTTTGTTCTTTAAACTCTTTAACAATGTTTTTATAATGTAGATGGATGGATGGATGGATGGATGGATGGATGGATGGATGGATGGATGGATGGATGGATGGATGGATGGATGGATGGATGGATAGGTGGATAGATGGATGGATGGATGGATGGATGGATGGATGGATGGATGGATGGATGGATGGATGGATGGATGGATGAATGCAAACTTCGATCTGAAAGTCCTACTGTGCTCCTAGCTAGCAGTGGTGGAAAGAGTACTGAAAAAATCATATTTAAGTAAAAGTACCATTACTTGCCTACAAATGTAGAGCGAGTAGTGTAAAAGTATCTGTTGTAAATATTACTCAAAGTATGAGTAAAAAGTAGCCCTTTCAAAAGTACTTAAGAGTAGTGAGTAGTGAGTATTACGCTGTTAAAAGCTGATGCGTTTACATGTAATTTGTGGATGTGTGTAAACACAACATTCTTTTTTTTTAATTACTTTATTTTAAGCATTTATATATATATATATATATATATATATATATATATATATATATATATATATATATATATATATATATATATATATATATATATACACACACACACAGAACAAGAACACACATTGGCTCATACTTAGACAAACAAAAGACAATATAAAAGAAAACAACAAAGAAAAGAGACAAAATAAACACAAAGAAAAAACACACTCATCATAGTCACAAAACATAGTACATACAATAAAATGTATGGGGGTTGTAAAGATAACATAAAACACATGATTTTCTGGACAGAGTTCGAAATTGGAAATTTTGGACTTCACAAAGTGCCTGATTTGCAAATAACGGAAAAAATGTGTATGAGGGAGGTCCAATCTTTCCCTTAACTGACTGAAGGAAGCAAAACGCCCCTCAACATAAAGATCCTTGATAAAACACAAACCGTTTTTTCTCCAAGCATAATACGTTTTATCAGTCCATGCTGGTAAGAATGAATGATTCTGACAGATTGGTGCGTATACAGAGGTCTCTGGTAGTGTTAGAGCTTTGTTTATTTGGTTAAAAATTCTTACTTCTTCAACAAAAAACTCAGTTTATTTAAAACTTTAGGCTTGTCCAGCTTAGAGAACAACATCGCCGTTAGGGAGGTCCCCAAAGCCAAATTGGCCTCCACTTGCACCCATAGAGGGGTCTCTGCCGCAGAATTAACTGGTGCGTCCTCCAGCCAGAACATTAAATATCTAGTGTAATAACGTTTAAATACTGGCATTCCCAAGCCCCCTGCAGACCTAGGCTTTTGGTTAACACAACATTCTGTAGTGCATTTAGTTATTGCCCAGCAGGCATAGGACGTTAATATTAGGTTTGATTTAGGTTGTGATGTCAGGTGACCAAAATTCAATGTCCGGCCAGCGTCTAAGGAAAATGTTATTTTGATGTCTAATAACGACAACAAATAGCGTTGATATTTGGTCGATTTTAGGTTGTTAAAAAGTGACCGAAATTCAACGTCCAGCCAACATCTTAAACCAACGTCATATTACGACCAAAAAACATTTTGGTTTTGACATTTATTCACTAGACATGGAAACCAAAATCCAACATCTGATAATGTCTTAATAGTAACGTCCATACAACATCAAGCTGTAACATCATCAGACGCTGATATTTGGTTGATTTTAGGTTGGACGTTGACGTTGGCCTGATGTTGAGTTCTGACATCAAACTGATGTTCATTTCCAAAAAAAATGTTAGGGTACAGCATCGATTTGACATCATGTTGACATCTTGTGCCTGCTAGGTGTTTAAAGCAATTTTGATCATCATATAGTAAACATCCATCATCTTCTCATGCATCTAAATAGTCTCTGGGTAATCGCATGTTAAGATTTTGGACATCTTTTTCTTCACTTTTAATTCACCCAAACAGTTTGCTGCAAATATATATCGCCCATGTCTTGTTGTAGTTCATTGTGATTTGATTTGTCTTCTATTTGCGATCTGATTGGACAGGAATCACAGGACTGATTTTTCCAATCCCCACAGACAAGAAAAAAATAAAGTAATAACTGCAGGTTGAAGCAAAGTAGAGAAGTAAAAGTACAGATACAGCACTAAAAATGTACTCAATAGAAAGTAAAAGTACATACTTTGAAAACTACTTAGTAAATTACAATTCCTGAGAAAAACTACTCAATTACAGTAATTGAGTATTTGTAATTAGTTACTTTACACCACTGCTAGCTACCAACAGATAGACTGACAGACACACAGACAAACAGACTTGTTTGTTTTGATTTCAAATAAGCAGGCCTTGTTTGGCTTGTGTGAGTGTTCACAGTGTAAGGCCAAGAAACCTTTTTGCAATTGTTGGCTCTCACACTCTGTAGTTTCATTGTAGCCACGTTTGGCAACAAAACCCTTAATATAGACAATCAACGTTCCTCTTTGTAGTCCATAACCCAAAATGTTGAACCACATTTAGAATAGAAAAGCCAAAAAGACCATCCATATATATATATATATATATATATATATATATATATATATATATATATATATATATATATATATATATATATACACAGTGCACCCAGAAAGTGTTCACTTTTCCCACATTTTTTTGTTACAGCGTTATTCCAAAATGGCTTAAATTCATTTATTTCCTCAAACTTCTACACATAATACCCCATAATCGAAATGTGAAAAAAAGATTTTTTGAAATTGTTGCAAATTTATAAAAAATAAAAACCCTAAAAAATTACATGTATATATGTATTCACAGCATTTGCCACGAAGCTCTAAATTGAGCTCAGGTACATTCTGTTTCCCCTGATCATTATTAAGATGTTTAAGCAGCTTAATTGGAGTTCACCTGTGGTAAATTCAGTTGATTGGACGTCATATGAAAGACATATACCTGTCTATATAAGGTTCCAGGGTTGACAGTGCATGTCAAAGCAGAAACCAAGCAAGAAGACAAAGGAATTGTCTGTAGACCTCCGAGACAGGATTGTCTTGAGGCACAGAGGTGGGGAAGGTTTCAGAAAAAATTCTGCTTCTCTGAAAGTTCCAATGAGCACAGTGGCCTCCATCATTCGTAAGCTCTTCCTAGAGCTGGCTGGCCTCTAAGCTGAGTGATCGGGGCTGAAGGGCATTAGTCAAGGAGGTGATCAATAACCCGATGGTCACTCTGTCTGAGCTCCAGCTTCTACAAGAGAACCTTATAGAAGGACAACCATCTGTGCAGCAATCAGGCCTGTATTGTAGAGTGACCAGATGGAAGCCACTTCCCAACTGGAATTTGCCAAAAGGCATCTGAAGGACTTTCAGACCATAAGAAACAAAATTCTCTGGCCTGAAGAGACTAAAATGAAACTCTTTGGAGTGAATGACTGGCGTTACGTTTGGAGAAAAAAAAACAGGCACCGCTCATCACCAGGCTAATCCCATCCCATTTTTCAGCAGCAGGAACTGTAAGACTGGTCAGGATAGAGGGAAAGACGAATGCAGCAATGTACAGAGACATCTTGACTGAAAACCTGCTTCAGAGTGCTCTTCACCTCAGACTGGGGCGACGCTTCATCTTTCAGCAGGACAATGACCCAAAGCACACCGCCAAAATATCAATGGAGTGGCTTCGCAACAACTTGGTGAATGTCCTTGAGTGGCCCAGCCAGAGCCCAGACCTAAATCCTGTTCAACATCTTTGGAGAGATCTGAAAATGGCTGTACACCGTCGCTTCTCATCCAACCTGATGCAATGGGCAAAAATTGCAAAAAAAGGTGTGCCAAGCTTGTGGCATCATATTCAAAAAGACTTCAGGCTGTAATTGCTGCCAAAGGTTAATCAACAAAGTATTGAGCAACGGCTGTGAATACTTATATACATGTGATTTTTCAGATTTATTATTTCTAATAAATGTACAACAATTAAAAAAAATATTTTTTTCAAATTGTCATTATGGCATATTTTGTGTAGAATTTTGAAGAAATAAATTTAATCCGAATTTAATCCATTTTGTAATAAGGCTGTAACATTAAAAAATGTGGAAAAAGGGAAGCGCTATGATTTACTTTATGGATGCACTGTACATTTCCCCATACATTTTCTTTTCTATTATTAATAATAATGCAATCTCTTTGTTTCTGTTTTCTATTTCTGTTGTTTTTCTTCTTAAAAAAAAAAAAACTTAATCTGACCTTACTAACTATATACTATAAACTGTATCTAACTATAAACTCACCCTCTCACTTTCTCACTTTTTCTCTTTTTCTTTCTGTGTGTATGTTGTATGATACAGTATAATCTTTGTATTGCAATGGTTCATGTCAGAAACGACAAGAAGATTAAAGTTCAAATTCTTTACTGAAAATGTAAGACTATGCAGTGCAAGATACAGTGCTCAGCATATATAAGCACACGCCTCACACATCTATCTTTTAAATTCATATTTTTAATAGGAAGCTATACAATATTATATTTGTGCATATACGTTAGATTAGTCAGTACTGAAGACAAATCTGGAGCTCATCTAAGAACTTATGATAAAAAAACTAGTACACCCAAATTTATATGTTATAGAAAAATAATAAATATAAATTTAATTAGCGTGTATGTGTGTTTCCCAGTACTGGGTTGCAGCTAGAAGGGCATCCGCTGTGTAAAGCATGCTGGAATAGTTGGTGGTTCATTCCACTGTGGCGACCCCTGATGAATAAAGGGACTAACCTGAAAAAAAAATGAATGAAAGAAAATTCAGTATCCTTTAGTACCCTTAACATGAATAAAAACAGTGACATGCAAAAAGAATTTTCATTGTAAAAAATGTTCAACTTTTTATGCATCCTACTATTCATGCGAGACTGAATGATTTGAGCTCAACTGATTTGAGTTCATTTCAACTAATTTCCCAAACATATTGGTCATTGGTTTATTGGTAGTGAAATATTAGCAGCTTGATTTTTCACGTTTAAAGGTTCTCAAAGAAAACAAAGTA